GTTATTGGGAACAGAGCTGTGGCAACTTATCTATTGCTGTCTTTAAAGCTTGTTTATCAAACTAATTTTCAAAATCTGGGTGTTGTGTTTTACTCATGGGAGATCCCTCCTCTTTGTTATCTCAAGGTGTGCTTGTGTGTGTATTTTGCTGGTTAGGCCCAAACTGCCTTTTGAATTTCCCACCAATTCCCTTCAGCCTTTGATGATGCAGCACATTGCAGGAGCTAGCACCCTTGCACACCTAGCTCTTCTTTTTCTTCAGTTTAAAAGATAAAAAACTCATGCTCTGCCAAAGGATATAAATGCACCACCAAGCTTACATTGAACTGCTGCATGTACCTGTAATGTGTTCCCACACCAAATGAATTCATAAGAAAGGGTATAGTGCTGTGCTGCTAATAAATAGATAAATGGCTATCAAAGAAAACATAAACATGATTACACTGAAAAACATACAAAATTATTGTAAACAGCCCAACAAACACATCTATATGGAGTGAATGGTAGCAATGATAACAATATGTCCAGTAATAATCGTTATAATAACCATGTATATAAGAAAAAAAATTGAATATGAAAAATTACACAGTTATACTTAAATAGTGATATAAATGTGCTAAAAGTCCATAAATCAAGTGTAAATAGCAAACATAAAGTGCCCAAAAAACATGGGAAGGGCAAAAAAGCTTGCATAAACACCACTCTGCCAACAAACAAGATGTGAGAACAACAGGGGGAGAACAGAAATACTTAAATAGTTATAAAATGTTCTAAAAATACATCCATCAAGTTTAAATTCCAAACATAAAGTGCCCAAAAACGGGAAGGGCAAAATACTGCAATCGTGCTAAAAGTCCAGAAACAAGTGTAAAGTCCACAAATAAAGTGCCAAAAAAAAAACAGTCCGACTGCCCAGGTAGCACAAAGTAACTTTTTCAAACAGCACCAGTGAATCTTTATTAATGTGCACGCCCGTGATCCACCACCATCTGCCATGCACACTCCCCTTGTCCGCTATAATGGTGTAGATATCCCACTGGACAAACACTTCTTGTCCCAAGCGTTTCTAAGATGTGTGTTCCCTTAGATGTTCAATTGGTGTGATAGGTAGTAGAACAAATAAAAGGGGCTTCCCATAGCATAATATTGTTTTATTACCGTTAAGGAAAAAGCAAGAATTACACTCATATCAAAAAAATGTTGCACATGCCCATAGGCCTAGACTGGATGTACTAAAATGGTGTCTACCGTCAAACCAGAAATGACGTCATCACATATCCGTTCTACGCATTGCGTTACATACCACGTCACTTCATTAGAGATCATGCAATTTGTTGCTTTTCCTGAACACAGGAGAGTTTGAAACACTCTCCACTGCCTTTTCCAGCAAAATATGACAGAGAGATAACTAATATTTCTGATTCTGTAGGGTTGGGGTTCCTTCGCTAGATAAATTGGACACAAAGACCCTACCCTTTCCAGAGAGAGAGGCTCCACCAGTCAAATTACAGTCAGCAGTTGTTTTGTCCAAACAGAAGGAAAGTATCATTTCTAACAGGTGCTGTATGCTCCCCTAATATCCCCAAATATCAGGCTTGGGGGCAGACACAGGGGCACTTAGGACACGCCAAACCCACCAAGAAGGACGACAAGGCAGCAATCATGCCCCCATGACTGATATTTGGGCTCCCTAATTGTTACTTTCTCAACCTTTCCAGGTCCTGAAAAGCCAAAAATCTGCGAAACGTGCTGACCTACGACCACTGGAAAACCACAACTGATATTTATTTCATTGTATTATATTTATACTGTTCTATGTGTCAATATTTGCTGTGTGCCATATTTCCAGCTTTCTTGAAGAGGGACTTTTTGTCCCCTTTTGGGGGTCTTTTTTCTTGTATATTCATATTTTATCCTATATATTTTTATTTTGTAATAGAATTTATGGTTTTTTTTTTTATGATTAACATTTTTATTAAATTTATCACATGTATATACATACATGACATTTTAAAGAGAAATAAAGGTAAAGAAAAACAAAGGGATCATCGATGATAATAACATGGGTAGAAAGAATAATAGTATACAATGACAATAGGGCAACAGTGGAAGAATGATCAAGTCCGCACAAGTCAAGCAGGTTGACCAGAGGTGTAAACATCCCACGGGTTCCATACAACTTCAAATGAGATTATAGAATCGGCATCTGAAGCTGTTAGATATTCCATTTTTCTGATATCTGCAATAATCTTAAATAATGTCAACATTGAGGGGGGTGTAGGGGAGAGCCAGCTCATTGGAATGCTTCTCCTGGCCGCCGTCAAAATATGCACGGAGAGTCTCCTCAACGGTCTAGAGAGACCTGGAAAGGGCAGGCCCAATAAAAAATAAAGAGGCTCATAAGGGAGAGAGGTATGTAAAACCAGTTGTAGCAAGGCCAAAACCTCTTCCCAAAAGGAGTGATAAGCCTACAATCCCAAAAATGTGAAAAAGGGAGCCGGTTTCCCTACCGCAGCGCCAGCAGGCAGGAGAAGCACTCGGGTTACGAGAATGGAGCACATCAGGGGTTCGATACCACAACATTATGGTTTTGTAAGAATTTTCTTTATAAACTACACACATAGAGGATCTGGATGCGTACTCCCAAATTTTCTTCCACTGCAACAAGTCAATGTCACAGCGGAGAAACTGGGACCACTTGCGCATATAGCGATGGGTATCAATAGATAAGGGAGGAACATCCAGCAGGAGCTTAAATGTATTGGAGACTGTGCCCTTTTGATGTGGGCCCTGAATACACAGATGCTCAGAATTTATGGTTTTATAAGCAAGTGTCTTTTATGCTATGCCGATAAAGTCCTGTTATCTTTGGGTTTGAATAGTATCCAACCCTGTTTTTTTCAGATGTGGGCAATTGAAAGTCTGACTTTTTTACTATTGTGCACAAGTTCTGTCCACACTTTCCTGCCCCCACACTGGCTTACATTTCTAACGGAATGTAAGGCGGTTGGTGCAATCCCTCCTGCTACAGAATTCTCTCTGTCATTTTAGCAATATCCGCTTTTGAGAGCCCCACATTGCAGACATTCATCTCACAAAGTGCACTGTCACTTTAGGGGCTGTTGTTTTAACTCTCCATGTTACACAACACCCATAATGTGCTGTGTACATGGCTCCTTTGCACATAAATAAACAGTTAATCACAAAAGAACTTCTCAGCAGACTGCAAGCAGAAGATACTCCATTTATACCATTCGCATACCACAACCAATTGTGATATTTAGCTCCCTTTTGTGACAGAGTCTCATTTGCCTCAAAAAACCTACTTGTCAGCATTTTTTTTCAAACTAGAGGATTTACTTCCACTTTAAGACAACCCATTCAAGAAAATAGGCTGTCAACATACCACAACAAAATAACGGACATACAGTATTTTTGGGATGCAGCGCTAACACAACATATGGTGATTTGATACTGTGAATTGTAATTCACTGCAATGTATGTGTGCAGAGCTTCATTGCTTTAGGGCCAGTTCACACTACATGCATTTCAGTTGCTTTTCTTCTGCATCCAAAATGCACAGAAAGTAGGTTATATGGTTGTCAGTGTCATAGTTCACATCAGTGCTTGCAGTTCCAGTGCGTTCCGGATGCAGAAAAAAAAGTAGAACATGCTGCGTTTTTTCTGCACAGAACTGTACTGTAACGCAGTAAAATGCAGCAAAAATGCACCGGAACACACCAAAACGCATCAAAAAAGCACTGGAACGCACTTGTCTCTATTTAAATTGAAGAAAAGTAGAAGGGAAAAAATGAACTGGAATACATAAAAAATGCACTGGAATGCATTAAAAAGGCATCATAAATGCACCAGAATGCGTCAAAAACGTGCATGTGGAAACACATCCGAACTGCGTTTCTATAGTGTGAACCGACCCTTGGTGCGTTGGGGTGCCCTTCAAAATGTATGGCACTGTAATGTGCATTCATGTGTTTTGAGATAATGTGTGCATTAACATGCCTGTTATCACAACAAGCCTTGATGACAAAGTATAAATGGGTCTTATATCTACAAAATACTTTGTTAAAATTATATTCACTGTTTAAATTTGTATGAACCATAACTGGACCATCAAAACTAATTGTGCTTCCATGCACAATACCTCCCTCCGTACTTATGATTTGTACTTCTTCATACTTTCCTGTTTTATTTCCTAAAATTAAATAAAAATATTTAAAAAGATAACAAGGCAGAGGGTGGTGTACTCTATTATGCTCCGTTTTATCATTTTCAGGAAAACTGATCTCTAACACATTTAAAAATAAAAGTTACCTTTTACTGGGCAGTTTGGTCTATAAAATAAAGGTATGTCAAATAAAAAAATGAATTCATATACTGGACTATACCATTACATGCATTAAATAACTAAAGGCAAAACTTTTTCTTGTTTAGTTTTGGACAGTGTAGAGGGATTAGAGCAGGTTTTTATTGCTGTCTGGGTACCCTTTAGGGAAATTCACTCTTTTTGTCATGTTTACCAATATTACAGAAAGAGAAAGAAAAGCCCAAACTTTGGGTTGTCCCCAGAACAATTATAGAAGGTAAATATTCCAATAGGGACACTAGTTTGGGTGACCCTGATGACAACTGGGGGGATCCCTTGCTTTAGAAAAATTTCCTCTCACTTCCCGTTTTGGTTATGGGACAGGACGTGAAGGGAAGTCTCCCCAATGGGATGGAAAAATAAAACTGACATTACGATATCCAAAATGAAAAAAATAAGTGACACCTTTAGTTCTAATTTACTCACATGCAGTTTCTAGAATACAATATTCTCGTGGGCCTTTAACTCATGAAGTCTTTTTTACTGATTTAATATATGTACATAGCCTGACGTCATTGAATATGGACTTTAGTGCTATTTTTGTTCCCTTGCTTTATACTATTGTTTCTTCTCTTTTACAGCAGCTTCAGTTTTAAATACTGCCCTACAGACTCCTATGCAGGCAGCTCAAGCCATTCAAGCAGTGTACCAGGCACAGCCAGCAGTTCAGGCTCAAGCAGCCCTTCAAGCAGCTGTCCAGTCACAGGCTGCGCTGCAGTCTACACCAGCTCTACAGACTCCAACAGCCCTGGTGTCAAATACACTTTCAAAAGCAGAACCTCAGACACAGTTCACTGTCCAGCCAGCAAGCTTTACCTTCAACCCAGCCATAGTAAGTCCAGAACTTTCTTTATACTACTAAGTATAGAGAAATGCCAGCATCATATTTGTTTGTGATAGGTAATACAGAAAGTCACTTACACTTTCACTTACTTAAAGTTCTATGGTCACAACATACACTTTCATTGTATACAATTACCATTTTGATAGCAATACAAACAATAGTTATATATGACAATCCAATATAAGATTACTTGGAAAACCTCTTTCATGTGTTGCCTGCTGGCCATCTCCTTCGACAACTTCCTGGATTCCTTACTACTTTGCAGTTTCTCCTCTGCTGTTTGCCTTTAATTTCCAAAGACTACATATCCCATGGTACCTTGCTGCCTGCAGGCTGTGATTCCTGTACTGACGTTGCCTCCTGAAACTCCTTCTCTTTAGCAACTCTGTAGTTTGGAAGGCAGGCTCTGTGACACAGCGTTGCCTACTCACAGGACATTATGAATACATACAGTATCACAGAGTTCAAGAAAGTAAATGTGTGGGTATCTTCACAAACTAAGTTTACAAACATCAGGATCATTCAGATTAATAGGAGTAGGCTATAAATAATTTAAATACAACATGCAAATGAATATATGATTTTAAATTTTGACTATAGATATGCCCTAATATATTCGTTTCAGAAAAAGAATCACCCAGGCTTATTGAATATAGTCTAGACTGCACAGGTGATCCATCCCCCTAGGGGGATATGAGGATGTTGCATTTGAACCGGCTATAGTGTTATTATTTTCTTTCTTCCCTTTTCCCCTTTTTGGGGAAAAAAAAAATTATGCCAGATAGATATGTCTGCTGTTAAGTACTGCAGTGGTCGCAGTATAGGCTGGAGTCAATTTCATACCATAGGGGCCCTTGTCTGCCCGGTTGACGGAATGGGTGAGTGTAGTCCTGCCTCCCTCCTCTAATGGGCAGACACAGTTGGCCTGACTTAAGGCATACTTGACACAATGTTATCCGGACTTTTTTGTGATCAACCGTTTTGCTATGGCCTCTCATATATGCATAAGGACTCCGTCTAGGGTCTTGATTAATCCGTCCCTTTTTTCCCCTCACGTCTCTTATTTTTGATGTTCTTTTATTATTGCAATCTGGTCCTGATGGCAGATATTCCTTCACCCTTATAACCGTGGTTGCTGGTAGTAACCAATAACTTTCCACTAGATCTGCATCAATGTTAGGCAACTTCTCTCCTCCACAGGCAGTATTTCATATTTTCAGCATAAATCAAAACAAAACCAGACATCCCATAGTGTGAAACTGTATAAAACTTTAATATGGGGTCAAACAATAGAAATGCCACTCACAAAAAAAGTGGTGTATTCAGCTTTGTATATTATGAATGGGATTTAAGATGGCAGCCGCATTCCAGCATGTGTTCCAAATCCCAGAAGTGACATCAACGGACATTGTGTCATAAGCCCTCAACTAGTTTCAACCAATAGATCATCCTCAGGAAGTCCTCAGGGTACTTCCTGAGGACGATCTATTGGTTGAAACTAGTTGAGGGCTTATGACACAATTTACGCTGATGTCACTTCTGGGATTTGGAACACATGCTGAAAATCTGCTGTCATCTTAATTCCCATTCATAATATACAAAGCTGAATACACCTAGTGCCAGGAAAGGCACTTTTTTTGTGAGTGGCATTTCTATTGTTTGACCCCATATTAATATTTTTTATACAGTTTCACACTATGGGATGTCTGGTTTTGTTTTGATTTATGCTGAAAATATGAAATACTGCCTGTGGAGGAGAGAAGTTGCCTAACATTGATGCAGATCTAGTGGAAAGTTATTGGTTACTACCAGCAACCACGGTTATAAGGGCGAAAGAATATCTGCCATCAGGACCGGATTGCAAACTGGGATAATCCCAAAAAGTGAGTGTGACTTACCTAGAGATAGGTGGTCATGAAATGACGGTGAGTTTACATCTATGTGAGGCACCAGTGTGAACACAGTGAAGCACTTGTCATTTCAATATGGAGTATCACTGTTAAAGATACAGCACCATTGCACCAATTATATTGCTCACATGTTGGGACTGAATATTAATATGGTAATTGTATTTTGCTCAGCGCTATCACTTTAAAGATTGCAAAGTTTATTTTGTCTATTTGTGTCCATTTTTGAAATATATAAGATTTCGTGTTTAGGAATTCACATTTAGGACTGCTGCTATATACAGTCAGGTCCATAAATATTGGGACATTGACACAATTCTAACATTTTTGGCTCTATACACCACCACAATGGATTTGAAATGAAATGAACATGATGTGCTTTAACTGCAGACTGTCAGCTTTAATTTGAGGGTATTTACATCCAAATCAGGTGAACGGTGTAGGAATTACAACAGTTTGCATATGTGCCTCCCACTTGTTAAGGGACCAAAAGTAATGGGACAGAATAATAATCATAAATCAAACTTTCACTTTTTAATACTTGGTTGCAAATCCTTTGCAGTCAATTACAGCCTTAAGTCTGGAATGCATAGACATCACCAGACACTGGGTTTCATCCCTGGTGATGTTCTGCCAGGCCTCTACTGCAACTGTCTTCAGTTCCTGCTTGTTCTTGGGGCATTTTCCCTTCAGTTTTGTCTTCAGCAAGTGAAATGCATGCTCAATCGGATTCAGGTCAGGTGATTGACTTGGCCATTGCATAACATTCCACTTCTTTCCCTTAAACTCTTTGGTTGCTTTTGCAGTATGCTTTGGGTCATTGTCCATCTGCACTGTGAAGCGGCGTCCAATGATTTCTGAAGCATTTGGCTGAATATGAGCAGATAATATTGCCTGAAACGCTTCAGAATTCATCCTGCTGCTTTTGTCAGCAGTCACATCATAAATAAATACAAGAGAACCAGTTCCATTGGCAGCCATACATGCCCACGCCATGACACCAGAGATCCCTGAAACCATTGTTAGATCAGATGAGAAACAAAAATGTTCGTTATAATTGGGGATTCCCTGCTGCTTGCCTGATTGGGTGGAAGGACGGGAAATCGGCAAGATTGAGATTCCCAGATGATCTAAGAGACTTCTGTGAAAAACTAGAATTACAGACTCTGGATATTGCAGGGTGGTCTGAAGGGGGGAAAGAGATTGTAAGGTTAGATGATGAGAAATGGCAACGAGTTTTTAGAAAGAAATAGATGGATGGGGGGCAGTGGGTTTTGGAAGAGAGGGGACCTGGGCACCCGCGACGGCAGCGGCGCTCGTGCATGCGCACTCGTGATCGTGGACGCGCGCCTGGCACCAATGAGGGCGCAGGGCGCCCTATTTAAAACAGGTCAGGTTTGACTCTAGTTGCCATGTGGTCTTACCTGTATCCTGAGTTTCCTGTATTAAAGATTGCCTTGTTGCCGACCCTGCCTGACCCTGATTTGCTGTCTGTCTCCTTTTCTGATCCCTGGCTTGTCTGACCATTCTCCTGTTTAATCCTGCATGTTCTGATCTCCTGTTACCGAACCCGGCTTGTGACCTGTTTATCCTTCTGTCTACTGATTTGGTACCGTTCTGCCTCCACCGTTACCGACCCGGCCTGCCCAACTCTGCTCTCGCTACCTCCTCACATCAGGCTCTCACCTGCTATACACCTCCAGTGGTGCTTCTACCACAGCTGGTGAACCCAGGGGCCATCCCCACCATCAGGGGCCCTGGTGAACAAGCAAGTTGGGACTTAGCTTCCGCGCCTTGGGGGATTCCGGTCTGTGGAACACTAGAGGCTACCACCGGCTGGGACATAACAGAACCATACGGCCATGACAGAGTCTGGAGGAGGACCCTCACCCTGGGAAGAGATGTGCCAACATCTGGCGGCACTCACACGGGCCGTAAAGACACTGGAAGAAGGATATAAACATCTGGAGGGACAGGTCCAGAGCTTGGCCGCACCTGTGCACACAACATCAGGCGCGGTGGGTGCACCTCCTGCCATAGGTTCAGCAGGACCTTCCACTGGAGCAGCATTTTCCATTCCTCCGCCAGAACCTTGAGTACCAACCCCTGAGCGGTTCAATGGGGATCGAGGAAAGTTCAGGGCTTTCCAGAACTCCTGCCAGCTGTATTTTGATCTGCAACCCCGGACCTTCTCTTCTGAATCTGTGAAGGTAGGTAGGATGCGCATCGGGCATATGACTGTTGCAGGGGGAGCCCCAGGGAATGGCTCATCGCCTGATGGAGACCCACCACCCACACCTGAACACTGTTGCCACCTTCTTCAAGGCAATGGCACAGCTTTACGATGACCCGCATCAAGCTGCCTCGGCTGAGGCAGCCCTCTATGCCCTACAACAGGGACGCCGGGCTGCGGAGGTTTATGCTGCTGAGTTTAGGCGTTGGAGTGGAGACACTCAGTGGAATGACGCAGCCTTACGCCATCAATTCCGGTTGGGATTGTCTGAACCACTAAAGGACGAATTAGCAAGAATAGGAGTCCCTGACTCCTTGGAAGGCCCAATAGACCGGGTCATCCAGATCGATCGCAGATTGCAGGAAAGGAGACAGGAGAGGTCCAGCCAGGGGCAAAGAACCTCATAGATGCTGCCAAGAGTACCAGTCATGCCAAGGGTCAGTGTCGGCAATCGGAGTCCAGAACCGTCAGAGGGGGGGGTAGAGATTCTTTCCCCGCATCGGGCATATGACTGTCCTATTGATCTGCTCCCGGGTTCCGAAATACCTTTCGGACGAATCTTCCCTCTGTCAGAACGTGAGCTAGGGGCCCTGAAGGAATATATTGATGAGAGCCTCCGGGAGGGATTTATCCGCCCTTCCACATCACTGGCCGGGGCAGGAATCTGTTTTTCGAAAAGAAGGACCGATCCCTGAGACCTTGTGTCGACTATAGGGACCTAAATAAAATTACGGTCAAGAACCGCTACCCCCTTCCCTTGGTCCCAGAGTTGTTCCAGAGGCTGAAGACAGCATCCATTTTCTCTAAACTTGATCTCAGGGGTGCCTATAACCTGGTGCGTATACGCG